TAGCTTTCCCAAAAAATGCAGGCATTTCGTTCTTAAGATGGCTGACGATATAAGCATGTATCTTGGCTGCTCTAGCACGTTTCACAAACTCATTTATCTGCAAGTAGATTCATATCCATGTTTCTCAAAACTTGTCTTCTTCAATTCATGTGAAACAAACTGTACAATGAACTTACTCGACGATCACAAGCCTTCTTTGGTATGTCTTTCAAGTCAGAAAGAAGGTCTCCTTGTTCTTTCTCGAACAATTCTTTCCCGATCGGACATGTGAAATCTTCATTCACGGGCTTGTTGTTGAATGATCTGCTATCAAGTAACGAATGCGATTGTGATTGCAGACATAGTGAATGTGATGACAAGAAAGAGCTTACCCGATATATACACGCACAACCTCAGGAGTGTTAAGGACTTTCCCTAGTGACCACATTAAGGCTCCATAAAGTCTCATTAACTATCATGAAAGGGAAAATATAAGCAACTCAAAACCCTCCCATCTGAATTATCTAAGAAGAAAATTTCTTCCATGGACACATTTTGATGTTCGACGTATTCATTGCAATTATACACATTGATGCTGAATAGGATGACAGAAGAAAAAACTGAAACTCGGAACACCGAAGTTGCATCATGCATGTAACAGGGCAGATATGGTGCTTACTTGTTGAGTATCAACTTGGTCAGCCTTGTTGAAAATGACACGAATCTTGTCGTCGTGACCGCGCAAAGAATAAATAACACGCTTGAATTCATCACTTATATCTAGTTTGTGAGGATCAAAGAGAAGAAGAATAATATCACATTTTGCAGCAAACCATGAAGTCACGCCTGTAAAATCATAGGCTCTTTGTGTTCTTTGTTTTTCTCCTGACAACACTCCGGGTGTATCTACTAATGTTATGTGCTCCAAGAGCTTTCAATACATCAAACACACAAAATATTAGATTTTGAGAATTAATGTTCACAAGAGTATATTAGTGTTTGAACAATTAACTCACAGGATGCGGCATCTGAGAACACTCAAACTTCGACAAAAATGCAGTTCCGAAAGTATTAAGACCAGTAAATGGCATGTCAGCTTGAACAGCTATAGTATTTCCTGGCACACTTCTTTCGTCAGTTCCCGACTGCATGCACAGAAATGACTGTAAATGAAACATGAGATTAAAACACAGTACTCGGACTCTGGTGATTCTTGAATACTAGTACATATCTGATAGGAATATATTGATTACTTTTTCCAATTTTTTTCAAATATTTGGAAGATTATACTCTTATGACTTAAAATATCAATGATCAAATTGGGTAAGTGATGGAAACTAATCATATTGCATCCATGATACAATCACAGAACAGAAATTCTGAAGTACCATAATAACAACAAATCTGTCAGTCGTTGGTTCAGGTCCAATGTGAGCTCCTGCAAATGATGGTGAAATAAAATTTTAATTATTGGTTATTGTACTCGTGTTCATATTATTTTTTACACTATATCATATTTTATCGTAATTAATTAATTTCTATATTATATCATATCAGTGAGGATCACTTGCCTGGATAATTGCACTTAAGCAAGTGTTTAATGAAGGTCGTTTTCCCAGTGGAATACTGACCCAACAGCATAACCATTGGCTTGGCATCAAAATCACAGTTTGTCTGCAATAAACAAAAATCATAGTTAAAACATATGATATTCCGACTCGAATGAGTATCGAATATATATTTATCTATCTGTGTCTGAATATGTGTCGGATACATGTGATATACGTATATTAAGAAAAAAAGAGTTATGGTAATATAAGATCAAATCCAAATTTAGAGAAATTACATCTACCACTCACCAACAATGGGGATACAAAATCATTAAAACAATATGCAACTTCTAATGGCTTTAACTTTTGATTGTACAGTTTCTTTATGCCATCTTGGACTGAAGTCACATGGGACAAAAACTTCTGTTTTAAACAGAAAAATGAAAATTAATTAACCATATATGCTATGGATGAATACAAGTAAAAACAGTTAAAGAGGTGAATGAAAACTGCACTAGAACTAGGAAGCAAACAAGTTCAATAAACAATGAGAAATCAAACCTGTGATGGTTTTGAAGAAAACCATTGAAATGTAATTGATGCTGGTTTTAGAGAATCACCTGCATTGTCCCCAAACTGTGACATCACGTTGTGATCGTTATATAAATCCATTGAATTCTAATAAGAGATTCATATACCATCTGTGTCGGTTTTACTCGAATTCGAAGGATCTTTCTTCTTCTGGATAAATCAAGCAAAATAGTAAGGATTTCATGATTGTGAAGCATATGAAACATAGACTTCAAGAGTAAAATCTTACCTCAATTAATTCATCCAAACCTTCCATTTTAGGAGGTTTGATATTCTCAAAGTCCACTGCAATACATCACCATATCTTAAAATCAGAGGCAAGCTAAATAAACTTTTAAAATTTTTCCATAAATATTCAAAGCTAAATCATCATACCATCACCCTTGAGGAGGATATCATGTGATATTTCATGACCATCTTGTACAAGCGAAACCAGCTAAATGTTGAAGGTAATAGTAGGTCAGCTTTGAAGAAATCAACCAATATATAATCCATACATTACCCGGACTCTTTTATATTCCTTAAAGTGTCCGTATTTAGCACATGCGTCCATTGATGGACCAAGGGGGGGGGCATCGCCCCTAAAAAGTTTCAAATTCTTATATATTTTAATATTTCTTTCATTTATTAATAATTGTTTTCGTCCCCTAAAATATTATAAATTTCCCCCTCATAAATATAAAATCCTGTGTCCGTCCCTACATGCATCCGAAACATGATCCGACATGAGAATGGGATTTTGTATTTTGTATCAGACACATACTTGTATCTCACACTCACTTCGAGTCCAAACCCAGATAAGTATAATCAGATTCTAAATAAAACTTCAACCGCATACCTGCATACAACAGATGAATTCTTTGAAACCGAGATATCCCTGCCTCTTGGAATCCGCAATCGCCCATATCTTCAAGGAATCATCAATACAATAAACAAATGGAGAAATACCAATCGTAAAAACTTAACATTAGATTCAAATTAAGAAATTAGAAAAGAAGAATAACCAGCTTGAGATCTTGTCGAGATAAATTGGACATAGAAAGAAACTTTATTGCATTATTTCCAGTAACGCGCCCATCATTATCTACCCCAAAATGGAAACAAATACATAATCAAAGGGTGACTAAAATTTTGAGGGGAAGAACATTAAGGAGCTAAAATCACCTGAATCAGCCAACTCGAACATTCTTTATAAATTTTCTGGACTTCTTTGGAGCACGAACCGATCTGAGGGGTTTCCATCTCCATTTCCGATCAGATGATCGTATGAATCAAACGAAACTGGAGATTGGAGCGTGTCGTAGTGGTCGTCGGAGAATGAACATAGGGTGGGTGGGGAATATTCGAAGGTGACAACAATGGTTGAATCAATGTAGAGAAAATATATTAGACAATGAGAAAGAGAGAAGGAAATTATATTACGTACCGGTTTCTAACGAACTGGCGGAGTGAATCTCCTTTCGCTAACTGCCATTCATGAGCTTATTTATAGCTGACACGGAGGAAATTATATGAGAATTCATAAAGAGACTATATTAAAAATTTATCATTTTGGAGGACTAAACTACAATTTTACCATATATTAATTTTGTAGCTTTATTTGCAAAAAAATTATATTTAATAAAATAATACTTTATTATTTTGAAATCCTAGACATATGAAAGGAGTTAAACAATAATAATATTTTTTATTAAAATGATTAAATTTTGTTTATCTTAATCTTATGCTGGTTAAACTTTTATATACAAATTTCAATAAAAGATATCAGAACTATTAGATAAAACTTATCACTATGTGGTTATGAGTACTCATTTGATCTTGAAGGAATTTATCGTTACAAATTAAGTCAGTATGTTACTAGACATGGAATAAGAAATATGCTCCGACTGGATAACAATTGTAGGTGAAAAATTCTAATTAGTCGATCTAATGATTGGATATTTCAGTTGTAGGTGCCACTTCAATGAATTTTTGATTTAAGAGATAATTGATGTTATTAAAGATGTTAATGTAGGTGAAGATCTCAATTTAAAGAATGCAAAACTAATATTATACATTAATTTTTATATTTGACATTGTAATTTTGTGATTTCGTCCCCCAATAATTTAATACTTCAATATAGTTTACCAACTTAGCAAATGAAGAACTAAGAACCAAACTTTACAAACAAACTAAACCAAAGAAACTATAAAAACAAAATAAATGAATAAGCCGCCTATTAGGGTCTACCATTGATTTCAACCTCTATATTGTGTTATTAGGTACTACCCCTTTGATCCCTCTTCTTTTGTGGGTCTTAAACTCTCCCTTGAAGGGCATAGAGTTTAGTTAAACTCTCCCTTGAAGGGCATAGAGTTTAGACCTTGCCTTAAGAGTTCAAACTCTAAACATATATATTATTTTATGATTTTAATTTTTTATTGGTATTTTTCGTAATTATTTATTCGTAACCGTAATTTAGTTTCAGAGCAAAATCTGTCCTCTTTACTCTGTCAGGTTTTCATTTCCTTATAAAGGTTCGCCATTAAGAAACCAAGTCATATGACAGTGTGATTTTTAATATCTTTGTTTTTTTTCTGTATATTTTCCCTTAAAAAGAGAATAAAACCAAAAGAATTTTATCAATATCCATTATAAGACATTTTTTTATATTTATTCTTTAGTTTCGGTTTCGAATTCTCTCTGTCGTTGAATTCATCGTAATCGTCGACAGTAGAATCCTTTACATCAATGATTATATAACGGCGGTAGTCGCAACAACTATAGTTCCCATAGACATTTAGTCCCTAGAATCATCAACCTATGGAGAAGATGATGATGGGAGGAAACAACCAAATGAATGTTCAAAGCGAGGGCGGGGGTCGTCGGGTGGAAATGACATGAGTAACAATAGCGACGGGGTGAGAGAAGATGGTATGGTGTTGAAAAAGGGGCCATGGACGGCGACGGAGGATGCGTTGTTGGCGGAATATGTGAAGACTAACGGTGAAGGAAACTGGAATTCGATACACAAGAACACCAGGTTGGCCCGATGTGGGAAGAGTTGTAGGCTTAGATGGGCTAATCATTTAAGACCTAACTTGAAGAAAGTAGCTTTTTCTCCACAAGAAGAAAGGATGATTATTAAGTTACATGCTAAGATGGGAAATAAATGGGTTAAAATGGCTACTCAGGTAACTCAATTTTTCTTTAAATGGATCAAGTTGTTTAGATTTAACTTTGATTTCGATTTTGAGTTTTCTTCTGATAGTTTATAATTTTATCTCGATCTTTCTAGATGGATTATTTATTATTACTAGTACTAATGTGGTAACAATGAATAGTTTGACGTGATTGTGTGAATGAATGAAATCTATATATTTCCATGACAAAATATAGCTTCCGGGAAGAACTGACAATGAAATCAAGAATTATTGGAACACAAGAGTTAAGAGAAGGCAACGCCAAGGCCTTCCTCTTTACCCGCCTGATATTCATCCCACTATTCTCAGTACCCCCACCACCTTCACCTCCATCACCACTTGCAGTCGCGGATGCTACTCCCTGCTCCTCTTCCCAGCACCTCCACCACCGCAACCTCCTGTTCTCCTTCCAAACTCCCATCATGTCTCTCTACACCTCAATGATGCCCTCATCACTTCACCCTCTTCACATCCCTCATAGAGTACCACCACAAAACTTTCTCTACAACCCTCATTCGGCTGCAACAATGTCGCAGCCGACGAATCTCCACAACCCAAATTTAGCCTCGACTCCACCACCTCTTAATAGCCCTTCTGGTTCGACACCACCACCACCTATCTCCCCCCTTCCATCCCCAACAACCAACCACCTTTCCCAACTCTCCCTCTCTTCGATTATGATTTCTTCAATAGCAACAAGCGGTTCAAGCATGATGACATCCAAGGCAACAACAACAGCGATAGCTTCATGTTATCATTTTCAGATATGCAAAACTACTCAAACCAAGTAACCCTCGATCTTGCTTCTTCGTCAAGCAAGAACCTTCATCAGCCCTATCTTGATTCCGGGTTGTTCTATCCGTTCAAATCGGACCAAGATGGGAACTTGAATGACGGTTTGTTGGAGGATATGTTGCAAGAAGCTCAGGCATTGGCAGCAGAAGCCAATGGCGGAGGCAACAAGGAAATTCCGAAAGAGATGAACAGTACTGCAACTCAACAAAAGAAGAAGAAGAAGACTACTCGAAGCTAATCAACGAAAATGGTCCGACGTCCATGGGCATGGCGATCAACGAATGGTGCAAAGATAGTGGCGAAAGCTCCAACTGGCAACCCTCGGCTATCACTGATAATGAAAATCAACTAGCTCTTGACATGCACGATATGTCTTCACTGTTCTCTGTTGATCATATTTCGCCTACTCATGCTGCTGCTGTGAGGTCTTCCAGTGTTCGATCCTGAGACAACTTTCCGGAATTTGCTAACTATGGTGCATTTTCTTGGGAAATTTGAATGAACTATTTTATATAAAAATCATGTTAACGTAGTGAGGTTGACATTAACAGAAATCAAACAAAATAGCTACAAACGATCTAGCTATGGTGAACTGGAAGTGCAAGAGAGAAGAAGAGAATAAGGTACGAAGACAATAATATTTCAGAATGTGAAGTAGAAAGATACAAAGATTTAGAAAAAAAAGAAAATACTCATTCTAATTCTAAATAGTGGACAAGCCCACTATATATATAGATAAGTCCATCTAACTAGCCCAACTGACTAGAAATCTGTTACAACGGATTTAACAAAAATAGTTACAGCAACGTCTATAAAAGCAGTTACAACAACGGCTATAAACTGATATATGATATACTAATATTCTCCTGGTTTTCTTATGATCTGAATTGCCACTTCAACATTTTCATGGCTTCTTTAGACTTTCTTCTCATGACTGATGTTGTTAATTTCTGCCCAAGACTTAACACCAAGATATGAGCGCATATCACTAAACATTGCAGGTGACAACGGCTTGGTGAGTATGTCAGCAACCTGTTCTGCAGAAGGAACAAAGTTTACACTAAGTTGTTCAGCCAATACTCTTTCCCTCACAAAGTGTATATCAATTTCCACATGCTTTATTCGAGCATGGTGTGTAGGATTTGCTGCCATAGAAATTGCAGAGGTGTTATCACACCATACACTAGCTTTCCAGTTATACTAATGCCAATTTCATCAAGTAATTATTCAATCCAAATCAATTCAGAAACAGAATTAGAAAGGCTTCTATACTCTGCCTCTGAAGTGGACCTAGAAACAATGCTTTGTTCTTAGAACACCATGCAATTGGATTACCTCCAAGATATACACAGTAGCCTGTTGTGGATCTTTTGTCTTCCACCGAGGCTGCCCAGTCTGCATCAGTGTAGCAGACTAAACTGAAACTGTCAGTTTGTGAGAAAAATAACCCATGCTCAATTGTCCCACTGAGGTATCTCAATATATGTTTCACTGCCCTCCAGTGAGTATCACACGGACTGTTCATGTACTGACTAACCTTGTTAACAACATAGACTATGTCAGGTCTTGTTAAACATAGATATTGCAAACCTCCCACAATACTGCGATAGAGATGAACATCTCCAAACAACTGTCCATCATTTGCCTTGAGTTTAGGAGTAAGGACCATAGGAGTGGGAGTTAGAGTGACTCATCTAAGTTTGACCTCTTTAACAACTCAGAAATATACTTATTCTGATTTAAAAACTAGCCTCTTAGAGAGAGCTCAACTTGCATTCCAAGAAAAAATTCCAACTGTCCCAAGTCCTTAAGAGAGAATTCTACATTAATTGTTTGCACTATGGCATCCACTTTTATCACCCGATTTCCTGTGATGACTATATCATCTACATACACCATTAATAAATACTTGAGAACATGTTGACTTTCCTATAAACAGAGAAGAATCTGCCTTTGAAATAAAAAAACCCAAGTTTGCAACCAGAAACTTCTTCAAAGTCTCAAACCCATGCTCTAAGCGCTTGTCTAAGCCCATAAAGAGCCTTCTTTAAGCAACACACTAACTTTCCCATTTTCACTTTTCTTCGTAAAGCCAGGAGGCTGACACATGTATATTTCCTCCGCTAACCTTCCATTTAGGAATGCATTATTGATGTCGATTTGCCTAAGTGGCCATTCTTTCATGATAGCAACAGCCAGTACAGTTCTTATCGTACTTGCTCAAACTACGGGACTAAATGTCTCAGAGAAGTCTCCCCTACTATTTGAGAATACCCCTTGGCCACTAGGCGAGCCTTAAGTCTGTCAACTAACCCATCTGGCTTCTTTTTCACTTTAAAAAGCCACTTGCAACCCACTACTTTACGCGCTGGAGGTAGAGGCTTTAACTCCCACGTACCATTCTTCATAAGAGCAATATATTCACTTTAAACAGCCTCACACCAACCAGGATCTTGCAATGCTTCATAGACATTTGTTGGCTCTTGAGGACTTGTCTCAACAAGTATCACTTTAGGTTTAAAGATGCCAGCTTTGCCACGGGTGACCATAGGATGAGCATTTTGAACTAGCCGAGGTGAAGATGGTGGTGATGATGGTGAAGGTGGAGGTGGTGATGATGGTGAAGGTGGAGGTGGTAATGATAGAGGTGGAGATGGTGAAGATGAAGATGAAGCAATAGATTCAATTGATTCTGAGATGCATGGATGATAAGGAGGAGATGAATTATTGTGATGAAGATGATACATGTGGTGAAGATGATGATGGCGTAGAAGATGATGAATTTGAATGGAAATTTGAATGAGATGTTTGGAGGAAGAAATGGAGATGTGATGTGTTGTGTTGAAGATTATACATGTGGTTAAGATGATGTGATGGTGTAGTAGATGGTAATACAAATTTGTGATGCGTGTGCTAGTGGGGATGGAAAGAAAAGAAGGATAAAACAAGTTATTTTGAGAAATATTGTTGACACTTGAGTGTTTTCAACTGTTTAATACTGACTGACCAGAAACAGTAGGAAAACTTTGGTGTTGTTGATAAGGAAACTCATTTTCTTCAAATCGAACATGTCTAGACATATAGACACGACCACTAGAGTCTAAACACTTATATCCCTTGTGAACAGGTAAATACCCCAAGAAGACAAGGCAGAAGAACGAAACTGAAATTTGTGCTGATTATAGAGTCTAAAAAAAGGATAACATATGCAACCAAAAATTATTAAAAAGCTATAATCTGGTGCTTTATGAAATATTTTCTCATATGGTGACAGACCAGACAGCACACGTGTAGGTAACCGATTAATAAGAAAAACAACACTAGAGAAACATCATTCCAAAACTTAAAGGCATAGAAGCCTGGGCTAGCATAGAGAGACTTACCTCAACAATCTGCCTATGCTTCCTTTCCACTAAACCATTTTGTTCTAAACTATGAGGACATGATAGCCTATGTACTATACCTTGTTCTTTCATGTAAGCTTGAAGAGCACCAAACTCACCTCCTCTATCTGACTGGAAAACCTTGAGTTTGACACCAAATTACCTTTCCACTTGTCTATGAAACTGAAGAAAATCAGATTTAACTTTAGATTTTTGTTTCAAGAAATAAATCCAAGTATACCTACTGTAAGCAACAGTAAAGGTAACATAAAACCTAAACCCATTAGAGTATATAGGAGCAGGACCCCACACATCTGATACTATAAGTTCTAATGGCTGTTCATACACAGTAAGTGAGTCATAAAGGGCAGCTTGTGTGATTTAGCAAGCTGGCATGCTTTGCACAACATCTGTTCTTTATTTATATCAGAAAAAGTTACATTGTAATGTTTTAATGCAGAAAATAAACTTCTTTAGAATGGTGACCAAGCCTTTTATGCCACACATACAGACACCCTAGTATTCACAATATAACAGTTTATTGAAGACAAAGAATTTTATCAGCATTATTAATATGCAATTTATCATCAGCAGTCATGCAAAATTATCAGTGTTATTTATAGCAATATTGAGTTTGTACAATCCTCCATCTTGACTTCCTTTCAACAACACTTTCCAAGATTGCAGATCACGAATTTGACAGAAATTAGGATAAAACTCAAGCAGAACTGATTGTCCTGAGTGAATTTGGAAACATATAGCAAATTTTAGTAATGTTAGGAACATAAAACAGCTTATTTAAGTGAAACTTATTAGAATTAACACAGAAACGTGACTGACTAGTATACTTTATTGGAAGTGAGTTACCATTGCCTACAATTACACTACTGTTCCAGGGTGAGTGTCTTTAATCTGCAGATTATTCAAGTCTTTTGTTATTAGATGAGTTGCTCCAGAATCTGGATTCCAAGCATTATCATCTACTGTCTCAGGTGTAGCTATAGGCTTGAGATGTGATTTGTGGTTGAGTAACAGCAGTGAACTGATTTGGATTTCCAGTAGGGAATGAAAACATGTTGTGGGGATTCGAACAAATTTGATGTGAATATTAACAAGATAATTCTGTGGTCGAAGATCAGAAACTTGTGGAGCTTGAGAGACTACAGAAAATTGAGGAATTTGAGGTGCAGAAAATAGAGGAAATTGAGGTGCAGAACATGTATAATACACTGGATTATAAGAGTGAAGTTGTCACTGCTAGGACTATACGAGCTGACATTGGCTTGAATATTGGAATAGCCTT